GTAATGTTGGCCTTTGGTTTTGTATGTGTGATCTTATTTGGTTATGGATCTTATTTGCTCTTAATTATGTTCAGAAATTACCCTTCTATTGTTCAGCATTTTTATCAGGAATGGTTACTGGATTTTGTCAAATACTGTTCTGCTTGGATTGATATAATCATGTAGTTCTTTTTCTTTCTTTTATTTATGTGATGGATTATAATGATTGTTTTTCTAATGTTGAACTATCTTTGTATACCTGGTATGAATCCCCTTGGTCATGATGTATTATCTTTTGATACATTTTTAGAGTATATTGGCTAAGATTTTGAGAATTTTTGCATCTATATTCATGGGGGATATTGGTCTATAATTTTCCTTTTTAGTGGTGTCTTTGCCTGGCTTTGGTGTCAGGGTTATGCTAGCTTCATAAAATGAAGTCGGGAGTATTCCCTCCCTTTCTATATTCTGGAATAGTTTTAGTAGAATTGGTGTCAGCTCTTCTCTGTTTCGTGGAATTTTAACTTGGCAGGATTTGAGATGCAATTCCACCTCTAAGAGGTGATCCTACAGATATGTGCATGTATATGTAAAGATTTGTATCAAAGATGTTATTGTATAGCATTATTGACAGCTGCAAAAAATTTGGAAGAAAGTTTCCATCCATACCAAAAAAACAAAACCAAACTCACTGCCATCTAGTTGATTCTGACTCCAGTGACCCCTTTGGGTTTCCAAGGCAGTAAATCTTTATGGAAGTAGATTGCCCAGTCCTCCTTCTGTGAAGTGGATGGTGGGTTTGAACCACTAACCTTCCATCCATAAAAGATTGGTTAAATAAATTATGGTATAGCTATACAATAGAATATTATCCAACTGTTAAAAGAACGAAGCAGTTCTAGATGTACTAATAGGGAATTATGCCTAAGATATTTTTGGTGAAAAAGCATGATGCTGAATGGTTTGTATAGTATGTTACTGTATTAATTTCCCAGAGCTGCCATAACAAATGACCACCAACTGGGTGGCTTAAAACAACATAATTTATTCTCTCACAATTCTGGAGGCTGGAAGTCTTAAATCAAGGTGTGTGCAGGGCCATGCTCTGCCTAAAGGCTCTAGGGGAAAATCTTTCACATGCTTTTTTCTTAGCTTCTTGTGTAGCTGGCAGTGCTTGGTGCCCCTTGGCTCATAGACACCTCACTCCAGTCTCTGCCTTTGTCATCTCATGCGTATTCTTCCTGTGTTGCTCTATCCCTTCTCATCTTCTTATAAGGACACCAGTTGTATTGAATTAGTGACCACTCTAATGACCACATCTTAGTTTGATTATATCTGCAAAGACTCTAACCAAATAAGATCACACTCACAAGTACTGAGGGTTAGGATTTCAACACATCTTTTGGGGGAACAATTCAACACACAATAGTTATCACTGGTGTATTTTGTAAAAGATTCTTTGTAACATATAATTTCTATCTATCTATCTATCTGTCTACATATATGTATGTATACACACACATATGTGCACACATACCCTTTTGTAATGTTTGCATTTTGTTCCATTTATATTATTTATTAGAATATAAAAATTAAAGGGTATTGAGGCAGCTCAGAGAGGAGTCTGCACTTGTCTCTGTGGGTAATGACAGTCATCATCAGAGCCACCATTGGCTCTTGTTAATTAAATAACAGGTATAAAGAAACATATCTATCAGTGTATCACACATTTATTTGTTAATATTTTGATGACTGTGTTTCAAGATAATTGGTTTCCTTTGCAACCCTATGCATTTTAAAATGTTATTCTGAATGTAATGAATGTCAGCTGTGTGATTAATGAGAAGAGCATGGGCTCTGGATCAGACAGACCTGGATTTGAACCCCAGCTCATACTATTGGGTGACCTTGTACAAATTAGTTAACCTCTTAGAGTATTGATTCCCTTTTCTGTGATGTGAGGATAATAGCTCACAAGATTGTCATGAAGAATAAATGAGATTATGTATTTAAAGGTGCTTAGCCCAGTGCCGGCACATACTAAGTGCTCAACAAATGGTAGCCATTACACCTACTTCTCATTTGTTGTTGTTATGTGCCCTTGAGTCAGACCTGACTCATAGTGACCCCTCCTTGGGTTTCCGAGGCAGTATCACTACGGAAGTAGATTGCCCAACCTTCCTTCCGAGGAGTGGCTAGTGGGTTTGAACTGCCAGCCTTCTGGTTAGTAGTCAAGTGCCTTAGGCACTATGCTACCAGAGCTCCTACTCCTCATTTAACTATCTCATTATCCAACATTTTGAATCTACAGCAATAGTGAAACGTCTACTATCCAACTATTTTGCTCACTGATGATGTACATCTAGCAGTAATAAATGCCAAAGTGTGAGGCAAGAGTAACGCTGGCTGTGATGGTTAAGGTTAGGTGTGAACTTGGCTGGGCCATGATTCTCAGTGGTTTGGCAGTTATGTAATAATATAACTTGGCAGTTATGTAATGATGTAGTCACCCTCCATTCGGTGATTTGATGTGGTCATCCTCCATTTTCACGTAATGTTGGTTTTTGTGTAACAGCCTGGTCTTTGGAACCTAATCACATTGATAAGTGAGGAGTTGGTGTATAATCAGCAGCAGCAGAATTGGTTCAAAGAGAGGATGACTGCTTTTGTGGTGAGGTAATGAATTCCCCATTAGTAGAATGTTCAGGCCCAGGCTGAATGGCCACTGGGTGGGATGTTGTAAAGAGAATGCAGTCACCAGAGAGATAGACTAGATGACTTCTAAAGGTCTTGTCCAACTCTTTAATCCTGGAACTCTGTGAAAATTCAGTTCTGAGAGCAAACACAACTCCGTTCTAGTCTATTTGACTTAACTACAAAAAAGAAAATGCCAAAGGAAAGTTAGGAGGGCCTCCTGCACACAGCCAGCAAGTAGGTTGCTATTCTTCCTGATTCTGAAAGGAAATGTCTGGGCACTTCTCAGCCTGACACTCTTCCACTCTGCCTTGTGTTCACCTTTCCTGGAGAAGCCTTCTGTGCTGCTCTGTGCATGAAGGACTGCAAGGACTGGTCTTGTTTTGAAAGAAAAAGATATAAAAGGAAGAAGAGAAAACAGACTCACTGGAAAATTATTCTAGTATTTCTGGAATCTGCTAGAGAGCGCTACACATGCCTCCTGAGGGTATTTTTTTGGTTGATGTGAGAAAAAGCTCTGAATGTAAATAATGCTCAGAATTGACCTTTTCCTTTCTCACTAATAAAGGATCAATAGGTTGGGTAATAAGGAAAAGCACTTAATGGAGAAAGAAAAGTACCCACTCCTCCAACACAGACATACACAATTATGTTAGTATGTTATACAGGCCAGGCATGGAAATATTTTTTGCATGTGTGTGTGTGTTATATTGTTGTGTTTCACTTTCAAAGATTAGATAGCTGCTTGATATGGCATAGTGCCTAAGGCGTTTGACTGCTAATTAGATGGCCGGCGGTTCAAACCCACCAGCCACTCCTCAGAAGGAAGGTTAGGCAATCTACTTCCGTAGTGATACCTCCTCAGAAACCCAAGGAGGGGTTGCTATGAGTCGAATCTGACTTGACGGCAGTGAGTTTGGTTTGGTTTGACATATAAAAGAAAATGTTGCAGCCCTTGCTGTAGACTGTATTTGAAATGAGATCATCAATTTGAGAACTTTTTTCTTATGTGACCCTAAATAACAAGTTTCTTTACACCCAGATTGCTTAAGTATTTGCATAAAGCTTTCATCTTTCTTTTGCTGTCAACCACCTGAGTTGCCTGAAAAGCTTCAGGGTAGATAAAGTATTCACAGTGATAATTTCTTACTAAGTTTTAATTGATCAGTAGGATACTTATAAGTGGGCTAATCAAACGACACCTCACTCATTTATTCTTTCAACATTTATTGAACACCTCCCAGAAGGAGTTCTGGTGGTATAGTGGGTAAGGCATTTGGCTAGTCACCAGAAGGATGGGTTCAAATTCACCAGCTGGGACTGCAGGAGGAAGATGAGGCAATCTACTTCTGTAAAGATTTACAGCCTTGGAAACCCAATGGGGTTCGCTGAGTCAGAATCAACTCGACAGCAGTGGGTTAGGTTTTGGTTGCTCGTGGGCCAGTGATTGAGTACAGAAATGAAGGAGACATGGTCTCTGCTGAGGAGTGACTCACAGACTAGAGGAGGTTATTGTTGTTGCTAATTGCTGTTGAGTCAATTCCAACCATGGTGACCCCACATGTGCAGAGTAGAACTGCTCCATAGGGTTTTCAAGGCTATGACCTTTCGGAAGCAGATCAGACCCATGTAGTTAAACAATTCTGTTTGGTGTATGTGTTGGGGGTTACTTCGTAGAGTAGTCAGTAGACTATGAGCAATTTGGTATTGGGGGTTTTGTCCTGGTCACTGTTGCAATACTGCTGTGCCCACTGCCTTACATAGAGCAGGTGCTCAATAAATAAATTTTTATTGAGAAGTCAGTAGTGCTAGGGGCACACAGAGTAACTAACACAAGCTGGGTCACTAAGGAAACTCTTGGAACATCTGATGGCTAAGCTGAATTTAAAGACCCTATCTCCATTTTCTGTCAGATGCCAGCTCTGGGGTCATGTTGCCCTCCTGGAGTCAAGTCATACAAATCTTTTGAATGTTGTCAGGCCCTTCAGTATACTCTGAATATGATTCTTCCAAGACCTGGCAATCAGTGGCCAGGGAACAAGGTGCATCTGGTTTCCTAGACAATTTGTACCTCTGCTTTTGCTTGTGAAAAACACATTTTTTTAAAATCAATTTAACAAGGCAGACATAAAGGCAACAGTGAAAATTAGTGTTACTCTTGACCCTCCCCATGTGTCTTTCTCATCTGTCCTGTGCATTATCTGAAAAAGAAGTAAGGGTGTTCCTCAAAGTAGTGATGCCTCCAACTGAAACATAATTTTCTACTACTCTTGTACATAAGTCATTTTTTATTATTTATCATCTCAACTTCCCTCTCATTCCTGTAGGATGTACTGAAGGCCCAGTTGACCTGGTCTTTGTGATTGATGGATCCAAGAGCCTTGGAGAAGAGAATTTTGAGATTGTGAAGCAGTTTGTCACTGGAATTATAGATTCCTTAGCAGTGTCCCCAAAAGCTGCTCGAGTGGGCCTGCTCCAATATTCAACACAGGTTCGCACAGAATTCACCCTGAAAGACTTCAGCTCGACCAGAGACATGAAAAAAGCCGTGGCCCACATGAAATACATGGGCAAGGGCTCTATGACAGGGTTGGCCTTGAAACACATGTTTGAGAGAAGTTTTACCCAAGGAGAAGGGGCCAGACCTCCTTCCGCACGGGTGCCCAGAGTGGTCATCGTGTTCACCGATGGACGGGCTCAAGACGACGTCGCCGAGTGGGCCAGTAAAGCCAAGACCAACGGTAATATGGGATGGAGGTGTGGTTTACATCACTCAGGGGCCACAGCTGGCAGTAGGGTGAGATTCTTTATTGAGTAAAGAAATAATTCCTGTCAATCACCATTATGCACCTTTACTAAACTGCCACCTAAGGCCTTAACAGGACCCCACCAGAGTTAAATAAAATACTCTCAGAATGAGAAATCTCACAAAATGGTTAGTTTACACACAAACCACACCTGGATAATCATCTACTGATTTACTAGCTAGCATGTGGCACGTCCAGGGGAGAGGAATTATTCCCCTTTTTGTTTTTGACCCTTAAAACCCGTTCCCAGGGTTTCCCAACCCTTGTTTTGTTTGTTTTGTTTTCGTTTTCGTTGGGATTTTTCCCCATTCTTTTTTTTAAACCCAATACTTTAAGCGAGCACTCTGAAAGCACAGTAGCCTTACATAGAGAATACTCTTGTGTTTTCAGAAGGAAAATTTAGCTTTTGAGAAAATGAAAATGTTGGGAGAGATTATGACTCTAAGCTCTGTGGCTTCGTAAAGCTCAGCCTCTTCCCTGAGTCTTCCTGACCCTGTGTGTAATGCAGGCAGAGACTTGAGGGTTCCCTTAGTTGTACAGCTGTGAAGTGCAGGAGAGGAGTAGGCCCTTGGAAAAGGAAGCCAAAAAGCAAGGATTGTTGGTGGAGAGAGTGGTAGAGATGGTGACACCTCTAGATTCCTTAAGGAGATTAAAAAAACTTGAGATTGTGAAGCAGTCTGTTTGCAAGTCACCTTCTTTAAGTGCTTGTGCAGGGCACAATGCTTTATCAGGTCCTCTAAGAGGGAAAATGTAGCTGTGATGATAAAGTGCTTGAGGCATTTAACTGCTAACCAGAATGTTGGTGGTTCAAACCCACTTCTGCTCTACAGAAGGAAGATGAGGCAATTTATTTCTGTAAAGATTTATCACCTGGGAAACCCATTGGGGTCGCTATGCGTCAGAATCGACCCAATGGCAGTAGGTGGGACAAGGGGAAAGGAGTCACTGGATAGTACAAACAGTTAATACATTTGACTGCTAACCAAGAGTTGGCAGTTTGCGTCCACCCAAAGATGTCAGGGAAGGCTTGACAGTCTACTGAAAAATCAGCCATTGAAAACTCCATGGAGCACATTTCCACTCTGACACACCCATGGTCACCATGAGTCAGAGTGGCCTCAACGGCACTGGTTATATAAGGAGAAAAGAGTGTGTATAGACCAGGGCCTTATCCAAGATTTTATGAACTCATGCTAGATCAGGCCTGGCACATAGTAGGTGCCTGACAAAGGCTTGGTGAATGAAGAACAAAGAAATGAAAGTACTAGCAATCCCATTGATGAATTCCATGCCTCACCACAGGAAGACATTCAGTCTCTGTCTTTGTGAAGGAGGTCATTTTATGGGTATTACTCACCTCACTATTCACTCCTTTTTCCCTAATCCAAGAGAGTGGCAGCCAGAAAGTTTCCTGCCCTGAATCATCTGGTTGGACTGTAGAACTGGCTGTTGACATCCAGTTCCTCTACTTCTTTCCAGTCCAGCCAACTTGCTACAGTTCTATCAAACCCATGAACCCCTCTAGTCTGTGTTCCTAAAATGTGTTGGAAGGGACATCTTGGTCTCTGGAGACCATGGTTATCCCTTTTATTGCCTCATGAAGATCAGTCCCCCTCACCCTTTTCTCCATTCAAACTTCCACAAATGACTCAAAGGCAAGAGGGAGGAGAAATAGACATTTATTTAGTTCTTAAATCAACAAGATTTATCTGAAATCACATCCTCTAATGGACTTAATTATTTCTATGTGTAGCTAACACATTCTTTAAAATAGTAGTTATCCTTTTTAGGAAGTTGTGTAGAAAGTCACTGGCTCCCAGGCAAATATGCTGAAATTGCCTACTGACCTTTCACAAACTTAGAACAAGGCATTAACTCTTACCCCTTGGCTCAAAAAGTTATTTTTATATGTTTTCTAAAAAATCTAATCTGATGAACTGGCGAGACTAAGATATTAGTGCTGAAAAATGTTGCAAATCAAGCAGAACTTAAGCTCTTACGGTGTTTTACTTTCAGATGAGTAGTATATGGAGAGAGAGGTCTAATGATTAATTTTGTTTGGGAAAAGCCTTTGGAGTAACCTCATACCTCATATCCCTTTTGAAATCTAGAGTTGAATTCTTGAGTTTGTTCTTTTTCCTGACTTCAGGGATTTCTGATGGGCTGCAGATTCTCCTTTTCAGCTTAAAACCTCATCACAAGAAAGGCTGTGTCTTTCCAGGAGGGGTGAGCAAAATGCAGCTTCCCTTGGCCCCAGGCCAACTTCAAGTTCCTATCTTGCACCTTTGAGCAGTTGTTGTTGTTATTATGTACCATCAAGTTGACTCACAGTGACCCCTCCTTGGGTTTCTGAGGCGGTATCACTATGGAAGTAGATTGCCCAACCTTCCTTCCGAGGAGTGGCTGGTGGGTTTGAACCACCAGCCTTCTGGTTAGCAGTCAAATGCCTTAGGCACTACACTACCGGAGCTTTGAGCAGTAGAAAATATAAATTTACCTGTTTCTTAGAATTCGTCCAGATGATATTCCCACACAGTAAGCCATAAGGTTAGTGCTGTTTTCTCTTTATCCAGAAGGCTAATTCAGGTAAAAGTTTGAAGATGTGCGGAACTGAGTGACAGGTTAGCCCCCCAACACCCCTGGAGGCCTCACCTTCCCCTCTCTTGAATCCTTCCCTTTTGCACAAAGAGCCAAAAGAAAGATGGAAGAGTAAAAAGGGACATTCCCGTGGACTCCCTCGATCACACCACTCAACATCTAGCTGGCTTTGGGTGCAGTACACATAACTTCTATACCCTGGAACCACAGCTCTAACACCTTGTTCTTAATTTGCTCTGCACTTTAGGTATAACTATGTATGCTGTTGGGGTAGGAAAAGCCATTGAGGAAGAACTACAGGAGATTGCCTCTGAACCCACAGACAAGCATCTCTTCTACGCTGAAGACTTCAGCACAATGGGCGAGATAAGTGAAAAACTAAAGAAAGGCATATGCGAAGGTACTGTAGCTTATGTCTAGGAGACACCTTAGCAAAAAGGGCAGCATGATCCCCTTTGAACAAGAAATTCTTAACTCATTCATTCCTTCAAAGTGCTCAGCAAAGTGCCCCTTTGATGGGCCAGGTGAGTGGTATCTAGAAATACTAAGCATAAAAAAGGATCAGAGAGGAAGAGAAGCCCCAAAATAGGAGCTAACAGTGCTTGAGCTCTGTGCCAAGCAGTGATTTAAAAAAAAAAAAAAAAA